TATATATTCATATATATTTATATACATATATATGTATTTATATATATTCATATATATTTATATACATATATATGTATTTATATATATACATATATATTTATCTATATTTATTTATAGATATAAATATATATGTATATAAATTACATATATATGTATTTATATATTTACATATATATTTATCTATATTTATTTATAGATATAAATATATATATGTATATAAATTAAAACTCTGATGAACCAGATTGTACAAAAACATTACATTTAAATTTTTATAGGTTTTCATCATCATTTGATGTATTTGCACTCATTGTGTCTACTTTTAATGTTCATTTTAAATGTGTGGTTTTCTTTCTTGTTCACATATATACATTTTATTTTTAGCTTTGCTTTAAAGTTCTTGTTTTGTGATTTGTACATTTGTGGGTTAAAATAAAGTTGAACTGAAGGTCGTCTCTTTTCTTTAAACATGTTTGAGGGAAATATTTCTGAGATCCAATAGTTTTGTGTCTTTTTATGATTTTCAGCTGAGTTAACAGTCATTAAAGTGAAAACAGGATTTCATGATGAAGCTGGCACCGTCTTTTTTTTTTTTTTTAAATCTTCAACGCTCTGCTGATCTCGCACGACTCTGCCCGCAGTCACACGATCCTCTCCTCCGGAGAGGAGGAAGCTGGGAGGCTCATCTTTCCAGCTCCAGTTCAGCTGGTCACTCACAGAGGCCTTTCCAAGACTCCAGCCGCGCGTAATCATGAAGGTCCGACCCGCGCAGACAGGCGGGCAGAGACGGGTCTGCGACGAACGGTGGAAGCGATTTTAAAAAACATTTTACGTGTAAAAAAAAAAAATCATTTTTAAATCGCTTCAGCAATTTTTTAAAACATTTTTTGTATAAAAACAAAATATTATTTTATTTAAAAATCGCTTCCACAGTCCGTCCCAGACTGTCCAGTCCGCCTGACTGCCGGGTGGATTCAGCCTTCATGATTACGCGCGGCCGGGGTCTGGCCACGTCCATCTGCGAGTCCCCATCTCCAGCTTCGCAGTGACCTGCGGAGCTCTGAGCGCACAAGGCTGGTATCTGGAACCCGAGCCTCCGAGTCGGCACATCGAAGGATCTTCCGCGGTGACCAGCTGAACTTGGAGCCGGGGAGATGACGCCCTGCCCGGCCTGGCGCTCCGAGGCTCCGGAGGGAGGATCGGGGTAGACCAGCAGAGCTCCATCCAGCTTGCTCTAAATTATGTTGTCGGCCACCAAGCACAAAAAATGCCTGCACATCAGCATTAGACCAAGATGTTGTCAGTATTGTTTTTAAAATCTTTAAAATAAGTCCAGGCTGCTCCAGTCCGAGAAATTGCAAATGGCGGATTATTGTTTTGAAAGTTTCTGAAGGATCCAGTGACTCCGCCCCCGACTCCGCCCCCGACCAATCAGTGACCGACAGTGTACTGATGTCACGTTTTTGTACCTCTTCGTACCGGTTAGAACCACAGAGCCAAGGGTACTGAAAATAGTAACAGGTGCTAAGTACCGGTACTAATGGAAAAGCCTCAGAACCGGGCCAAATAGGGTCGAGTCGGCCCGTACCGGTACTAATGGAAAAGGGGCAATAGTGATTTTGGTGCACCTCAGCTGAAATCTGTGCAATTTAGAGCCAAACGTATTGCAACGACGTCACTTCTTAATTCTCCACGCCACCACGCCCACATCCTCAAGCAAAAATAGTTTGCACTCTAAATTAAGTCAGACCATATTATCTGTCTTCTAACACAGGATCATCCTGATTTGGTCAATGGTGTCAAAGAGGGAGCATTCCAAGGTAAAAAAAAGACTTCCTATTCTGAGGGGGTGGGGCTTTGTTGAAGTCAAAATATGACCATAGTGGATCATCAGGCATCCAACAGGGATGAGTCATACCAAGTTTTGTGCATTTTGGTCTTTCAATGTGAAAGTTATAGTGTTTGGAAATGTATGTCTTCTAAGAGAAGACAGGCTTTAGGCGAGCCGATTTGCCCTGTTGGCACACACGCAGCTGGATATCTCATCGACTTGGAAGACTTGATGATGCGTCTATCTCTGCTGCCATCTGTGGTTTTTAAGGACCCATATTTAATTGGATTTTTGATAACTGATTCCTGCTATTTTGGATTCGGCTGGCTGGTTTTATCTACAATCAAGGAAGTTGTCGGCAGCAAATTTGGACCCGATCACACTGCTTGCCTTTTTGATGGCTTGGTTCGTGTCTCGTGTACCCGGACTCAAATGCTTTGGGCAGAATGGATCAGATCTTGGGGATTTTACTCAGTCACATTCCATCGGTGTGGCCATGTTATTTTGGACATTTCGGAACCGAGTGGACCAACACAGACTCAAGGTAGATGTCATTACGTTCTGCCTGTCCTCAAGACAACTGTGTGTTTATCTAAATTTTGGTTCCCTTGGCTGTTCTTGAAGGCCATTTTATCTGAATTTGCCTGGAGAAAATGTGATCTGACGCTCACCATCCCCTCCCTGAGGAACTTCCAACTGATAACCAGATGAACCAGCTGAATAAACTTTGTGTCATCATTTCAGGACTTTTGGATTCTCATGGATGTTGTCCTTGGCCATTCCTCGAATACCTTGAGAATGTTTATGGATCTCACTGGAGGACATTGACTGATTACAGTGACCTCGAGAGCATCTATAAGCGTTGTTGACCGCTCTCGTCTCCGAATGCAGAATGTCTACGTAAATATGTGCTTGTTTGTGCAAGGTGTTTTTTTTTATATTAGAGGGTTTTTTTCTCAGGCAAGAAAAAAAAAGTCTGATAGGAATTTTTTTTCGCCTCCAACTCCTACATGTGTCCAGTTAACCACTGTTTTTGTCTGTCCAAACAGGTCTCACTAGTAAATGAGTCTTCGAGGCTCAATGTGATTTATCTGTTTAAATAAAGGTTGAATGAATGAATGAATGGCGTCAAGCGAAACTTTGAGGCTTGGCCACGCCCCTTTAACATATACAAAAACGCAAGCTTTAGATAACTTTTACTCTCCAAGGTCTTAAGGGCATATCAACCATGTTTGAAGGCAATCCTTCAAAACTCCTAGGAGAAAATCGTTAAAATTCGCAATTAGAAACGCCCCAAAATGACCCTTTGACCCAAAATGGCCAACTTCCTGTTGGGTATTTCTAAAATTTTTAGGTGGCGTTCTTGAGGCGTTTCTGTTGCGATTTTTGCCACGCCCTTAAAATACATAATTTTTCACCAGTCCTGATGTGTCCGCCAAATTTGGTGACTTTTGTGATATGTTAAGGCCCCCAAAACGCCAGTTCATTTGGCGGAAAAAATTGCAGCTCGGACCTGAACAGAGTGATTAAAATACGCCTTCGCAGTGCTTCGCTGCTTGGGCTAATTCTGTAAAAGATGACAATGTTCATTCTGTTTCTGATCTCAGAAATCCATGTTTTATTTGCAATGAAACAGCAAACATATGGAAAGTTAGAAGCAGGCCTTTTCATCACCCAGTGGACTTTCTGGAAGATGTTGACTTCTTCTTTGCATGGTAGAGTGTCAAAAAGTTTCTCTGGATGGCACAGTGTCTTACAAACTCCTGACAGTGTTGACAGACTATGATTTTCAGAATTGTTTCTGAGTCCATGTGCCTGTGGGCCTGAAGAATAGGAACATCTGTGTAGTGAACTTAATCTGGTGTCACGACTAAGCCTAAGGTCAAAATCCTTGACCTTAAGAGCCTTGTGGGACAGAAACTGTCATTTCATTGATTTGAATCCAGAAATACAGGTTCACCCATCCTGAGACTTTCTTTCTTGAAGATTCAAGTGAAAAGAACACTCTCTTTTTATTATCATTACTATGTTACAAATGTTGATAATCAAAGTGTCTTAGTTCAAACCATTTTAGATGTTGCAGTGAACTAATCAATTTTATTAACTGTGTAATGATTTTTTCTCATGCAAAGTTAGAATTCATGTTGAGGTCTGTTACAGATTTTTATGCATTTTCTGATTTCTGCCTTTGAATGAGCAAGTGTAAGTTGGTCCAAGGTTGGAGTCAAACGCAAAACAAGTTGTTGGAACGAACTGTCATGTTTTTAGAATCCTCTCAGACGTAAATATAGAGGTTTTGGCACCTGTTTCTAAACTCGCCAAAACAAAACTCTCTCTGTCTGTGAGAACATTTCTGATCTGTTTCATAACAATTCTTGCTGTCTTCTAACCTCTTACGTCACAAAACACACCCCGTCTGGTTGTTTCTGACCAATGGGAATACTCCCAAAAGTGAACCGGGAAAGAGCTCTTAAAAATGTCGGTACTTCCTGGTCTACTCAGTTCTGTGGAGTTCTGTTGGGTTCAACTGAGTTCTGTTGGGTGCAGTTAGCAGTTCTGTTGAAGCTCTGGAGAAGTTCTGTTGAGTTCTGCTGGTTGGAGAAGTTCTGCGGCGCGGACAGTGCTGATATGTCCTAGCGCTGGACAGTTCTGTGAGAGACGGGATGATCCTGACATGACAACAGAGCTCTTCCGAGTTCCATGGGATTATAACATTTTCACTCGCCACTACTTCTGACGATTCACAGCATCCTAAGGAGACGCTGGACAGGTAGCGTTAACGGAGCTCCATATCTGCTGATTAACCTCAGAAAGGTAATGAGTCAAGTTTCCTACCAAGCGTACCGGGGAGAGCTGGGTTCTGATGGAGAGTGTCAATTCTGGTGAACACTTCCCCTCCCATACCATCTTTACTCCCTCTAAACTTCTTTCCCATCTTTAAACTTTTTATCAAGTAGATATTCTTCCAGATATTTAGAAATGTCTGTGTAAAATGCTCATCCACATCTGTGTGGGTAAAAGATCATAATTGTACAGTTTCATAAATGTCTGTGGTGAAGCAACGGAAAAATCATGGCCGTATGATTTTTCCTGATTGATTGCTTATGTTGTTATTTTCATAATTTGCCAAATTAATGTAAATGTTTGATGTTAAATTTTGATTCTGTAAATAAATGACCGCATTCATTTTGATGGGTCAAATATAAATGACGTCTCACGTTTGCATTTCCTTAAATTCAATGCACGTTTTATTCAGTCCAGAAAAATGAGGAATCCGTGTTAAATGATGAATATATCCGAGCATCTGTTCATCTACATCTGTAAGGATGGCACCATCTAGTGGGCCTTCCCCCTGTCTGTTCTCCCTTGTGTCTGAATTGATTGTTCTGATTATCGTCACCTGTGTCATGTCCTGGTTGTGTGTATATAAAGTCTGTCTGTCAGTTCTGTCATTGTCGGTTCGTCGTTGGGTAATGCCTGTCTTGTTCTGCCTGAGTGATCGTGTTTCTTGAGCCCATGTAAGTTTTGCTGCCATGTCAGCCTTTTTGATTTATTATTATTATTATTAAAAGTATTTTTATTTTATACATTTGCCTCCTGAGTCCTGCCTGCGCAACTGGGTTCTTCTGTCCTGTTCTGCCACGAAAAAACCTGACAACATCCAGTAGTGACTTTAAATCTTTTGCAAACAGAGATGGCTTCAGATTATTTTTCAGAATACTGTTAAAGATGGGAGCTGGCTGCGGGCCACCGGACCCGGAAACCCCCTACAGCTCACGTCTTTTTCCCCGGCTCGAATCTCCCTCAGAAGTGGCAACTCTCATTCTCAATAAATCAAGGAAACATCAAATACGTTTTACCAATTGTATTAAAATCAAGGCAGGAAGAGGTTACAGTTTACAGCACTGGTCTCTCCGGTCTGTGACGCGTTCACAAACCCAGAAGAGCCCTGATGTCCTGTGTCATTACTCATTTATAGGGTCCTGGACTCCTCCTTCGCAGAAGGGGAGCTCAACCTGTCAGTGTATGAGGGGGCGTGGCTAAGTGTGATCTCAATGGATCTTATGTGGTTATGATGTGTTAGGAAATATGAGACGGTGCTTCAAAAGCCTTTCTACGTGATGTGGCAAGCAGATTAAACTCTATTCCTTGACTGATATTGAAATCCCAGGGAGACTCTTTGTAGAGTTGCTGGCCCAGTTTAACCCAGTCAGAACCGGCTCATAATTTCATTATAATCCCATCTCTGAGCAGATCAAAACTATAGGACCAGTCTAGATAAAAAATGTCCAACAATACTATACTGAAAAAGAGAGATTTTACTTCAGCGAGATTCAACTTCTGTGTGTGTGTGTGTGTGTCTGTCTCCAGGCTGTCAGGATGTCTGATCACAGAGGAAGGCTGTGCTTCTCTGGCCTCAGCTCTAAGCTCCAACCCTTCCCATCTGAGAGAGCTGGACCTGAGCTACAATCATCCAGGAGACTCAGGAGTGAAGCTGCTGTCAGATGGACGTAAGGATCCACAATGGAGACTGGACACACTCAGGTATGGAGAGATCTGCTGCAGACATAACATCTACCAAAGGAGAGTGAGCTGTAAACAGTTTCTCTGCCTGTCTAACCGACACTGTTAGGGGGCCAAGATGGAGTAGAGGTACGGCAGCCGACCTGGGACCAGAAAGTTGCGGTTCGACTCACAGCCATCCCCACATGTTGTGGTGTCTCTGATCAAGTCACCTAATCCCTAATTGGTCCCTGGGCACTCAGTAGCTGCCCACTGCTCTACCTGGGTGTATCCCAGGTGCAATGGGTTAAATGCAGAGAACCAATTTTGTCATTGTATGGGAACATACAATGATGACAACATATAGCACTTATTAGGGGTGGGCGATATGGCTCAAATACAGTACAATATTGTGATATTTCAGAGCACTCTGACGATAAATTTTGTGATATAACAAAAAAACAAAAATCATAGTTATTCAGTTGTCAACATTAACTTAACATGTTGCTTTGCAGTATTATATAAAAACTAAGAAAAATGGGTTAATTTTACAGCAATTACTTTATTTAGTAAAGTCAGGAGGAGTGGTGATGCAGAAGTTAGAGAAGGTGGGCCTGTGATCGGAAGATCGCCGGTTAAAGCCCCGGTACCGACAACATAAAAAATGTGGGTGGGGTAGATGAAGCACCCACACCTGCCCCCACCCTCATTTGTCCCACTCTGGGCCCTTGAGCAAGGCCCTTAACCCCCACCATCTGCTCCTCTAGGTGTCCTAGATAGCAGCTCTCAGCTCCACACAGAGGCTGTGTTAGCTCGGTGGTCTGTGGTTGCGTCAGGAACGGCATCCAGCGTAAAAAATAACTGTCAAGTCTTCGTGCGACTTAGTTCGCTGTGGCAACCCCTAAAGAAGGGAGCAGGCAAAAGCAAGAAGAAAAAAAACTTTATTTAGTAAAGTATTCAGTCTCAAAGTATAAAAAAAGATCCTTCTGTTATTTAGATTGAAAAGTCTGCACAAAATATAGATCAACAAAATTCACCACAGAAACTAAAGTGCAGGTGTTGTTCCCCAAAAAAACTAAATAAAATGAAAGCTCAAAATCTGTTGGGCATACAAGAAAAAATATCTTGCCTTTAAATGAGGTATAACTTCCAAAACTTGTGACAAATGCTGAAAACAAATGAAATGCTGCCTGAAAGGACTGCTGATCATTGGCGGAACATAGCCATTAGCCAACTTCCATCCATCCATCCATTCATCCATCCATTTTCTATTACCCGCTTCTTCCATTTTGGGTCACGGGGGTCGCCGGTGCCCATGTCCAGCAATCACTGTGCGAGGGGGGTGGGGTTCACCCTGGACGGGTCACAAGTCCATCAAAGGGGGACACAGAGACAAACACAATTTCTTGATCCTCAAGAAAGTAGCTGGTCTCAAGGTTTGAGCTGCACAGTTCCCAGTCGCTGTTAGTGCACAGTGAGACTCAGGTAAGGCTCTGCAGTCCAACTTGACCATAAATCAGTGGGCGATTTATAGTTAGTGTTTTCCCTACCATTATACATGCGGGGTGCCCCGCCGTGTCAATAGAACCGAGCGCACAGTCTAGCGAACCGAACTGCGCACACACCCCCACCACCCCCCATCGGCACTGACGTAGCTTCAAGTTAGCAGCGTATTCTCTAAAATGCTAAAGGCAACGTCTTCCCTCACACTGAACCCTCAAGCTGACCACCCCCCAGATGTTAAAACTGTCGGTACAAGCAGCGCTCAGCTCAGATGTGTCTGTGTTCCCCTGCCCCCAGCTCTAAAACAGTGTGCAGCTCAGATGTCTCCGTTCATGCCTTCCCTTTTACAACTTGAATATCGCTGCATGACCCACGTTAGGGTAATCTGCTGCATGATGGGATGATGTATTTATGCCATGAAATTAGCTTATCATGATATAATTTAGTTTCCCAGTCAAGATTTTTTACCGGTATTATCGTGAATGAAATTATATGGCCCAGCCCTAGCACTTATACTGTATTTTTGCAATAAAAAAGTAGAAAACGACATCTTTTAAGCATGCTTTTAGGTTATTTTGATTCTTGTTTAGATTGCAATGGTGCTTGAAAGTTTGTGAAGCCTTTAGAATTTTATATATTTCTGCATAAATATGAACTAAAACATCATCAGATTTTTCACACAAGTCCTAAAGGTAGATCAAGAGAACCCAGTTAAACAAATGGCCAAGATGGCTGCGCTCACCGCAGCCGCAGCATCACAGACTCCAGGTGAAAATCCAGTCTTTCTGCAGGTTTACTTGTGGTTCCTACGATTTACAAAAACAGAATGGGAGACTGCAACAAAGCCAAGATTTAACTTGTCTACTAGATTCCTTAGATAGAGAACTTTACTAATTGGCTTTTATGTGAATGTTCCTGTAAAGTCCCTGAGACAACTTTGTTGTGATTTGGTGCTTTATAAATAAACTGAATTGAATTGACTCCCACTGGAACTGTGATTGTGCACGTATTGCACGTAGCTGTCGAATGTGTTGGCTGAGGTAGTGTGAAATAGTTCCAGATGGCTGATCTTTTCGCTCGCTCCATTTTGAAAACAATCTGTGCGTTGAGTTCACTAGTTCGTGATATCACTCAGAGCACAAAGCATAAAATTAGAGTGAATAGATCTGCCCAGTCATGGATCGGTCACATTGTCACTGATACCCGATCCAGAAGTTTTTTTTCTTCGATACTGGTACTGATACCTATATTGGTATCGGATCGGTGCATCTCTCAAATTAACTGCTAGTCTTAGAGGTTCACATACTTTTACCACGCACAGATATTTAATATTGGATCATGTTCCTCCATAAATAAATGAATAAGTATAATTTTGTTGTCTCATTTGTTTCACTGCATTTTCTTTGTCTACCTTTAGGACTTGTATGAAAATCTGATGATATTTTAGGTCATATATATGCAGAAATATAGAAAATTCTAAAGGATTCACAATCTTTCAAGCACCACTGTACATATACAGATAAATTACAAGATACATTTAACCTAGTTTAGTGATTTGACAAAGAGTAACCTTTAGCCTTGCACAATTTACGGGGAAAAATAATTACAAGTAGTAAAGTATTACAGTAAGTGTAAACTGTGCTGGAACATGACAGCCACAGGACTGGACTGTGGAGATGCTCTATTCAAATGTTGGACTGTCATTTTCTCACTGTGAAACAATGTGTGGATGAGAGCCATTTAATGTCCATGTTTGCTGAAAAAAACTGATGGTCTGACCCCTCCTCCTTTCAGGGTGGAGCCTGCTGGAGTCCGATGGTTGACACCAGGTCTGAGGAAGTGTAAGAGGTTTTTATTTTTACTTGATTCGTTAAAAAATCTTAAAACTGTCACAAGAACTCATTCAGCTACATTGTCTTGTATCTTGCATCTACAACACTAACGTTTTATACATTGATGCAGTGATTCTCAATTATTTTCTGTTATGGACTGTAAAGGACTGTACTTATATAGCACCTTTCTATTTGATCAAGATACTCAAAGCACTTTATAACACAATCTGTGCCCTCATTTACCCATTCATACAGCACTCTACTAGATCTCTACAAAGGGGGTGGCTGTGGCTGAGTGGTTAGAGCAGTCGTCCGCCAATGCAAGAGTTGGGGGTTCGAATCCACCAGCAGTCACATGCTGAAGTGTCCATGGGCAAGTCACTGAACCCCTCATCGCCTCCGATGTGTGTCCCATCAGTGTATGAATGTGATAAAGCACTGATTAGTCTCTTTAGAATGGTTTGTTCAATTAGCTTTGTAGAGATCTAGTAGAGTGCTATGTGAATGGGTAAATGAGGACACAGATTGTAGTGTAAAGCGCTTTGAGTATCTTGATTAGATAGAAAGGCATTATATAAGTACAGTCCATTTACCATTTACCATTACAAAGCTAATTGAACAAATCAGTCTAAAGAGATTAATCAGAGCTTTATCACATTCATACACCGATGGGACACACATTGGAGGCATCGAGGGGTTCAGTGTCTTGCCAAAGGACACTTCGACATGTGACTGCTGGTGGATTTGACAAGTGGGTGAAGAATTTATCTGACAGACAGCTCACCCAGCCGGAGACAGAGATTCTTGCCAGGGGACTGAACTTTGCGGTTGCACCAAGTAGAATTCCTCTGGTGGAGATGATCACAGCTACTGAGTCAGCCATCCGCAACAACAAAATTGAAGAGAGTGAGGCAGAACAACTCAGAATCAAAGTTTCATCCTGCCTCAGCAATGCCAAACCACCACCTTCCAACATCAGTAGAGAGGAGAGGGATGCACTCACCACTCTTAGCAAGGACCAGAACATCATCATTCTCCCAGCAGACAAAGGAAGGTGCACAGTGATTTTGAACCAGAAAGACTATCATGAGAAAGTTATGACACTCCTTACTGACTTAACCACTTATGAGCCACTGAAAAGAGATCCAGGAAGCGGCTACAAGAAGAAGTTAATAGATTGCCTGAAAATATTTGGAGCAGGACAAGGCTATTGACCGTATTCTGTACCACAGAGTGTACCCAGGGGAGGCCACACCTAGTCTGTATGGTTTACCTAAAATCCACAATCAAGGTGTACCTTTAAGACCAATCGTTAGTATGATTAACTCTGTCACTTACAATGTTTCCAAATATCTGGTGTCTGTACTCATCCCTTTAGTTGGCAGCTCAGAACACCACATACAGAACACCATGGACTTTGTGGACAAGGTGAGGGATGTCATCATGGAGACTGATGAAACAATGGTCTCTTTTGATGTCACATCACTCTTTACGTGCATTCCTGTTGATGATGCAGTAGAGGTGGTCAGTTTAAAATTAAAATCAGACACCACTCTGAGCAGCAGGACCACGCTTTCCACAG